CTTCCCTGGACTCTGATCTCTATGTCCTTATGTTAGGTGGCTTTTAAGAGAGAAACAATTTCAAAAGAAAAGGTTTGCTTTGCCTCACAGCTTCAAGAGTTTTGGTCCATAGTCAAGGGCTGTTGCTCAGGGCCTGTGTCTGCTCTGTACATCATAGTGGGAGCATACAGTAGGAGAGACCTCTTCACTTCCCAGAAGCCAAGAAGTAAGAGAAACACAAAGGGGCTGGGGTCCCAATGTCTTCAAGAGCGCACCCCCAATGGCATAACTTCCTTCCAGGAGGTCCTAGGTTCCACACCTCCCAATCCTACCAAAAGTTGGGACCAAGTTTTCAACAAATAGACCTTTGGGGGCTATCCAAGACCCAAACTCCAGCACTTCCACTTAGAAATCTAGAATTTGTTTTGATTTCCTTCTGCAAAGTGTGGTCTGGACACCATCTCCCTCACTAAGTGGGGGAAACCGTAGACACAACTTCTCTCCCCCCTAGGCATGCATCACGACATTACCTGCTGCCCAACAGCTAAAAAGAGTTGTTTAATATACCTACCTAGGGTCTTTTCTTCATTGTCAATAGCATCAACACAGTTTTATCTACACAGCAGTTACTTTTCTTGTTTTATTACATACATTTTAAAATATTTTATTATTCTTATGTGTATGAATGTATTGCCTGCATGTATATGTAAGTACACTCATGTCATGCAATGCCTATGGACGTCAGAAGAGGGCGTCAGATCCCCTGGAACTGAAATTACAGAAGGCTGTTAGCTGCCATGTGAGTGCTTGGAATCAAATCAGGGTCCTCTGGAAGAGCAGCCAGTGCTCTTAACAGCTGGGCTGCCTCTTCACTCCCACAGCAGTTAATGTTTTATAAGCAGACTTGGGATTCTTTTTTTTTCCCTAAAGAACTTATACCACTTATAAATTCTAATAAATGGAGGACTGAGAAAATAATTTGATATCCTTCCAGATCTTTCTCCTTCACTGTGTTTTCCTTGTTTCCTTCTGTCATCCTCAAAACAGCAATTGATAGACTTTTGTGGCTGGTAATCTATTCTAAAAATTTAATATTTAATAGGATTCTGGGAAACAACCTCCAAGAAATTAAGAGATTCCAAACAACAGAAACAAATCAATGAGCATAGCTCAACCACCACCCCAGTAATGCAACATCTTTTGGAACCTCTGAAAGCAGTATGGCATTGCTGTTTTAGTAAGAACCACTTTCTGCCCCATGCTTAATAAAGCTGGTGCTTAAAATGGCTCTAGTCAGGCTGGGAAGGTGACTTGTTTGGTGGGGTGCTTGCCTAACATGCACAAAGCCTTCGTTTCATCCCCATCAATTGAGCATGGTGGTACATATCTATAATCCCAGGACTCAAGAGGTGGAAGCAGGAGGATCAGAAGTTCAAGATCAACCTTGATTACAGAGTAAGTTAGAGACAAGCCTGGACTATATGGTCCATATATATAATCAGTTTTCTACAATGGTGGGTGATTAGTCTGCTGTAGTGGCTCACGCCTATAATCCCAACACTCGGGAGACAGAGCTGGGAGGATTGCTACAAATTTGAGGCTAGCCTGATCTACATACTGAGTCCCATGCCAGCTTAGGTTTTTGAGACCCTATCTCAAAAACTAAAATAACAACAAAAAGAATGATGGGGTGATCAGAAAAATTTAAGCTTCCCATTATAAGGTAATATGTGCAAATTATCAAATTTTTGGAAAATACAAGAAAAAAAATTATCATACAATCCATTCCCCTGTCACCAAAAGACAACACTGAAGGCCTGTGAAGTCAGTTAAGAGCAGCTGTGGCCAGGTGAACCTTGATCCTTCATGACTGGTGGTCATGACCTACAGCCTAAGTATTCTATAGCCATTTCCTGTGAATTGAAACCTTCCCTCCTGGAGGGAAGGAGGTCGTGAGACCAGGAGGTAAACAACCTTACAAGTCTCTGAAATCTGAAGGTACCAAGATTGTCCCTCTCCCAGGCTGTAGAAACAGTTGCTGAGGAAATGAGGAGGCAGAGCTGCCTAGCTCCTCCAGCTGTGGGGCTGCCTGCAGCTGGTCCGGAGAGCTCCAGGGATGTAGCTTCCTGAGTCGAGTTGAGGTGGACTTTTCCATGATGCAGCTGTTTTTGAGTCATCCCTGTGAAACCCCTCACCCATACTCCTGTAAACAACCCAATGAACTCATTGGTTCATCAAGTTGAACTTGGATGCAATCATTACTTTGGTCTGTTGTTAGTTTCCTATCTGGGGTAAATAGATGTTTGTTCACATCTCCCTGGGAAAAGTGTCACAACACACTAAGAAAGAGCAGTAAAAATAGGTTTTGTAACATTATTCCTATTTTCTTAGTCTCATGTAGCTCAGACTGGCCTGGAAATCGATATGTAACCAAGGATAAGCCTGAACTTCTGAAACCCCTGTCACCACCTCCTGAATGCTGGGATTACAGGTGTGTGCAACATGCCCAATTTATCAACACATATTTAAGCAAATTCCCAGGTGGGTGGGGGCCAGTGCAGCAGTCAAAGGTATATAGTCCTGGATTCAAGATTATGTCCTTAAATATTCTGATTTTGGAGAAATCATTTTAAACTTGGGAGCCTATTTCTTCCTCCATAAATTAGAGATGCTTAAGAGTTCCTTTCTCTCAGGCCGCTTTGTGAGGATTAACTGTTCCAGTGAAGTAGTGAATACCTGCCTTGCAAGAGGCTTTGTATTGGCAGTGGGTTTCCATCTATGCACAGAGATATTGTATTAACAGCTTGAAGTAAAAGCTGTCATTCATTGAGCCCTTAAAGTTCTAAGTCCTTATGTAGAAGGCGCTTTACATGAGCTCCATGCTTATTTACACATGACAAAGCTGAAGCTTAAAGGGAAGGGTTAAGTGACTTGTCCAAGGACACACCCCAAATAAGGTGGACTAGGGGCTCAGCGATAAAGAGCACTGGCTGCTCTTAAAGAGGATTGGCGTTCAATTCCCAGCACCTACGTGGCTCAATCATCTGTAACTTCACTTCCAGGGAATCTGATGCCCTCTTTTGGCCTCTGCAGGCATTGCATAACTTGGGTGCACTTGCATACATGCAGGCAGTACACTCATACACATAAAATAAAATAGATAAAATATTTAAATAATATTAATGATATTTTATGCATTTTTACTATAGTATTATGTGCTTTATACATTTATATAGGGCAAATCAATATGTATGCAACCAGGCATACTGTCATACTATGTGGAATTTGCATAGGTCATTTTGACTATAGACGATTTTTAAATTTTTTTAGAATTTATTTTTCTTTTATGTGTATGAGCATATTGCCTGCATGTATATAAGTGCACCCGTGCCCTGCAATGCCCACAGAGATCAGAAGAGAGTGTTGGATCCCCTGAAACTGGGGTTATGGATGGCCGTCAGCTGCCAAGTGGGTGCTGGGAACCAAACCTGGGTCCTCTGCAAGAGCAGCCAGTACTCTTAACCACTAAGCTATCTCTCCAGCCCTAGGTGGCTTAAAAAAATTTTTTTTCTTTACTATTTTTATTTCATGTGTATGAGCATATTGCCTGCATGTACGTAAGTGCACCTGTGTCATGCAATGCCTGAGGAAGTCAGAAGCAGGTGTCAGATCCTTTAGAACAGGAGTTACCAACAGTTGTTAGCCACCATGGGGGTGCTAGGAACTGAACCCAGGTTCTCTGAAGAGCAGTCAGTGCTCCTAACCCCCTGAACCATCTCTCCACACACACCTTCACACACTGGATTATTTTTATCCATCCAGTCATAATGCTATCAAGCAACTTGGAAGCATTTCACACCTTTCAAAGCTATCTTAGGTAAACCACCCAAAAGGTGTTTTTTTTTTTCAGTGCATCAACATGTGCCTAAGACCGGGAAGAAACTGTAACAGTTGGTTAGTGGTCCCCAGATTGCAGTCTCACCCTTTCTATGGTAAAATGAGGCCCAGAGTAAGGAAAACTTGATGAGGGAGACCCAAAGTGCAGGAAGAATCCAGAATTAGAGCTGGGCTCCTGGTGACCCAACTGTGGCCTAGTACCAGAGCCCCTCAAAGGCTGAAGCAAGGATGGGTCAGATGTGCAGGCCACTCACAGGACTCCATGGGGAGGGCTCGCCCTGGTTATCACCACTTTTCAGGTGGGGACACTGAAGCACCCTGCCACACCGCAGGAAGTGGCACCTTCTAGCCCTCAAGGCACCACCCAGCTGGGTACAGGGATTCCCCCATGCACCCGGAGTCCGGAGGTCCCATGGGCTGCGCGGAGTCCTCCTCATGACCTCAAGGACCGGTCCCCCAAAGTGACCCGGCTCCTACCTCCTCAGTCTGACTTGCTCAGCAGCCCAGTCGCTATGGCAACCACAAGCCTAACGTTCAGGGGTCCCCGAGAACCCAGCCTGCTAATCTAGCCAATGGTGTCCTCTGTTTCTTTTACGTGAAAAGTTGTTGGCCAATCGTCAGAGCGGTTTCAAAATCAGCAGAGAAGCTGTCAGAATTTGGGGTTCGGGTTAATTACACCGGGACCTGTGGCAGAGAACTAACAGGAGTTTATATCGTGGCTCCTTAAAATTCGTGGGAAGGACCAAAAGCCTTGGAATTTTGCTCAGTCAAAAATCCTACCCAAGATAATTTACATCCACCAAAAAAACCCTGCGTGCCAGAGCAGAAAATGTTGATGAGGGCAACTATGGGCAGCCATGCAGTAGGCCCTGCCTTGCATGGTTCACAGTGGCCACAGGGCTCTTGCCACTCCCCTGCTTAAGCCCACCTGGCTCCCTTTAAATGCACCGGGCTAGGCTAACCCTCATCATAGACAGTCTCTGTCTCTGGTCGTTCCTCCCACCGCAGCTCCTGCCGCCCACACCCCAGGAAATCTCGCACTAGCCCAGCTGGTCTTTGGGCAGCTTTATACTGCAACATGCCAGTGCCTCGCTCTCTCAAGCGCTCCCTCCCTCCGAGCCCACCTGGCCGCAGATTTGAGCTCAAAACCGGCCTTCCCCATGGCTGAGGTCTCTCCCCAGGGTCATTTCTTCGTTGGAACGGGTGTGATCTCAAACTTCTCTCCCAGACGTTGTTGCGAGGGCCTGAACAGCGTGCGCAGCAAGTGTGTGCCCGCTGGAAGCCCCAAGCACAAGTTCAGGGTCACAGCTGAACCCTGGGATGATTGACAGCCTCCCAGGACTGCTGGGAGGACAGGGATGCAACAGAGGCAACAGGTGGGACAGGGGTGCGGGAAAGGAGGGTCTCGCGTGGTCCCGAGGACTCATTGGGGCTCTGCTAGGAGCTGGTGCTGAAGGATGTTTGGGATTTGACTACCTGGAGGGAACATCTGTAGCATCATCATCCCGGAGGTGGCTGTGAACACCAGCTCACACAGGGCTCACCTGTTGGGCAGGTGGAAGTGAGCCATCATCACCCAGGGGACCAGGGCAGCCCCCGCCTTTTGCTTTGGCCGCTAGGGCACCCCTCCAGGTGAGCGTCAGGTTGCTCCCGTCCGCTTCAAGCAAGCTTAGCGGCGCAGCCAATAATCTCAGGATGTCCCGCCCAAGCCTCTCCCCGCAGCCACTCGCCTGCGCGGAGTCCCTGCCAGCTCTGGACTGGCAGGCGGCATGACCAATCATGTCGCAACGTTTGAAAGCAAAACACTGCAGCACCCTGGCAGCTCCGAGTTGGGAAGGGATCCGGGAGGCTGTGCCTCCGGGTTGCGCGCAACGCCCCAGTCGCTTCTGGGGAACCTGGCATAGGTGGAGCGCAGAGGAAACAACGCGGGTGAGTTGTGGTTAAGACTGGGGGAAAAGAGGGACTTGAATTCCCCATTCGTGTTTCAGGAAAAGCAACGCATGTTTAGTCATCCAACGCCCCCTCTTGTAAATACCGCTCCACGTTGTCGGTTTGGGGGTCCTGTTGCCTCCTTTTTATTTTCCTTTTCCATATTTGCCTGGAGGGAGACAGGAGGGTGGGTACGGGTTTGTCTTAATAAAGGTGATGCTGGGCGTTACCAGATGAGGAAGCGGAAGGATTTCCTGGCTCCAGCAAGCTGAAAGTAGCCTGTGCTAGCAGGTGGATGGAGTCGGGCTTGGTACCGGAGCAGAGGTGTGGTCTCCCCAAATGGGAGAGGACTCCAGAGGTCACCTTTAAGTATTCCAAAGCCCTGGAAAGGGAAAGTTTGACGTGTAGCCGACATTCACGGAAGTCAAACTGAATCGTAAGGTGGTGGGCAAGTTTATTTTACCCATGTTTTCAGTTAGAGCCAAATCCTAAACAGACCTTCCTCTTAATGGCCACGAGGCATGGCTATCCTCTTTGGAAAACTCGCTGTGTGGGACTGGTGGGGGAAATTCATTGAAATAAGACTGGGGGTGGGAATGGAAGTAGGCACTTTAAGAACCCTCTTCCCTTCCGTCAGTGACCAGGAGCTGTGACTGTCAACATTTAGTTGGCCATGTGCCCCTTGGACATATGTTAGTCCTGGGAAACTGCTTTGAACCCAACAGTAAAATGTCACCAGGAAAAAGTGGTGCTTTGTAAGGGAGCACAGCTTGCAGAGTTCCACGGAGGATTTGGGATAACACTACTTGTCAGCCCAAGACAGACCTTCCTCTCCCTTGTCTTTGTGGGATTCAGAGGCTAGGGGGTTCCTGAGAGAGGGAGGCTGCTGTTCAAAAGCCAATGAAAACACACACACACCCCTAGAAAAGCAGCTGGCCTGAAAGAGATTAGGAGGCTTGGATTCCTGCCCTTCTCCCTAGCTGGTCCCCAAGGCTGCTTGGGTGGGGCTGGGTCTATCTGTTTGTTGCCAGTGTATCCTGAGTAAGGCATTTTGACTGCCATGACCACAACACACCAGGGGCTGTACATTTAGTCCAGAGTGGGTGTGTGCACAAGATGCCAAGCTCTGGACTAGGTCTCCAGAGGAAGCAGTGGACCCAACAGATACCTTCCTAGAGTTTCCTACCTACACCCCCTTCAACTTCAGGTTGGATACAGCCCTGGATACAGTCACCCAACTCCAGGTTGGATACAGTCACCTAGCTACCATCATTGTATTAATGATACCAAGACAGATCCAGACATTTAACGGTGATGCTTCACACCCACATGCAAGAAGAATAATGCCTTCCCAGTCCTTTGAAAATCCTTTACTCACCAGGTTTTACACGTAGGGAACTTATGGAATGTGAGGTAAAGAGTAACCTGATGATAGTGTCTTGCACATGAATATTATCTCAACTGGAAGCAGCAGCAATAATTTAATTTTAGGCCTCTTGACAAGGTGTAATCTGGACCAAAAGGTCTTTGTGGCTGCCTTATTCTAAGCCTGTTATCTAATGTCTCCTAAGTGCTGGATATGAGGTCTGCCCTGTGACTTAGGTGCATATTATTAGCATTAGAACCCCTGGACGCAGAGCATGATGTAGAAGGAACTGGAAACTCTGAGATATGCAGCTTTCTGAAACCTGGAGCCTGGCAGAGACTGTTTAGTGCATACCAAGCCCTCATCCATTTCTTGGTTGGATGCTTGGGAGATAGGAAACAACGTATGTGAGTAAACTGCAGGATTAAATTAGTGAGAGGACCAGATAGCCTAGTGGGTAAGGGAGCTTTCTGCTAAGACTGATGATTTGAGTTCAGTCTTTGGAACCCACCTGTTGGAAGGAAAGAACCAATTCCACAAAGTTGTTCTCTGACTTCCACATGTGCAGCGTGGCATGCACACATACATATACCCGATAAATATTTGAAAATAATAAATAAATTGGCGACAATAAAATAGTACTAAGAGCTGACACTTGCCAGCCATCTCCTGTGTATGCCTTTACATGCTTGATTTCTTTAGATTCTTAGAACAGCCTTGTGGGACAGAAACATTATTAGCCACATTTTACAGCTAAGAAATAACCTGGCCACGGTACACCAGATGCACATGGCAGATCAGAAGCAACTAAAAACATTTTAAGAGGCTCAATGGGTAAAAACACTTGCCAAGAAAGCCTGG